GGGCAGGAGGGTGTGGTTTGCACTGTTGTTGCCCAGGGTGGGAATGGGGAAGTGGGCTCTGGCTTAAAGCGGTGTCAGGCTTCGGGGGGCTGGGTTCAGAGCTGGAGGTTCGGGTTGGGGTGAGGGTTGGGCTACAGTTTTGGTTCAGGGGTTTCGAGTTGGGGGGCAGGTTATGGGGTCAGGGTTCCAGTTGGGTTCCGGGTAGGGGGTGGGGTTTAGATTTTGGGGGGAGGGTTTGGCCAGCAGCAGCATAGAAGTGCGGGTGGCAATGGGGTGCAGCCAATAGTGATCAGTCGGGGGTCTTTTAGGTCGTTTCAGTGTCAGTAGCACCCTGGGGTGGGGGTAGGGTCATGTTTACGACAGGGGGCTAAAGTGTTGGGGAAGGGGGTGGCAAGTTGACCCATCCCACTTCGCACTTCCCACACGGACACGCACAATACGTCGAAGGCGTGGACGCACACACGTCACACACACACGATGACACAAAACGGCACACAACAAGACAAACAAAAATACACACGATGCAAACACACACACAACACGACACAGAAAGCATCACACACAAAACATCACACACACGACCCACAACATGTCACACACACACACTCAACACAACACGACCCACAACATGTCACACTCAACACAACACGACCCACAACATGTCACAAAAACACACTCAACACAACACAACCCACAACACGTCACACTCACACACTCACACACTCAACACGACCCATAACACGTCTCACACTCAACATGACCCACAACACATCTCACAACACGTCTCACACACACTCAAAGACACACAGCATGTTGCACGTACGTCGCATACACACAACTTCGCACACACAGTTTGTCGCATGTCGCACATATCACGTCACGCACTTGTCTGACTATGCACATGCACATGCACAACACGTCGCACGCACACACACGACATGTCACAGACACGACGCACACAACATGACACGTGACACAAAATGGCACACGACACAAAATGGCACACGACATTGAGACACACATATGACACTGACACGTTGCACGTGGAACACACAGCATGTTGCACGTCACACTTTACATGTCACACGCACAACACATCACACACAGCCTGTTGCACGTTGTAGACAGCACGTCACATGTTGCACACACAACACAGTGCGCATCGCAGGCACGTTGCGCGTTGCACGTATACAGCATGTCACGGCTACACTGCACGTCGCACGCGCACATGCACAACATGACACACAACCTGTCACACACACAAAAATCACAGCAACACGGACACACAACACATCACACACTCAACAAAACACTCAAGAAAACACACAACCACGTCTCACACACACACGACACCACATGACAAACAACGTCTCACACACACAATCACGTCTCTCACACACGCCGACACACACTCACGCACACACGCACAGCACACGGCGGCTCTCACACACGGCACTGACACACACGACGTCTCACACACCCACGACACGACATACGACACGTCACACGACACACAAGACGGCAGAGGACACGACACCGAAATCCCACCCCGGAGACGACCCCCCGCGGGGGCGAGAGCGGAGCGGAGCGGGGACGGTCGGGGGAACTCGGTCTCTGGGCGGCGCGTGGGGCCGGTGTGGGCGGGAGGGAAGAGGGCGGCAGGGCCGAGGGCGAGATTCCCAGCCCCCGGCGAGCGCTGGGGAGCGAGGGCTCCGGCTCGGCTCTCGCAGCGGCTCTGGCGAGGAATGGTGCCGGAGCTCTCGCCGGAGGGGAACGCGGCCGGAGGGGCCTGAGCCGCTTGGGCCTCTTTCCAAGGAGGCGGAACCAGGCCTCCGCTCTCTGCCCGCTGCAGACCCGGCTGCCAGGTCGGCGCTTCCAGTTCCTCGTCCGCACTCGCCGTCTTCTCGTGTGTTCGCCAACTCGCTCTCTCTCCTCTGCTCTCCTGGTGCCGTCTCCCTTTGTAGGACCCGGGTAGGTGTGCATTCCCACAGGTGAGGTCTCGGGAGCCATGGAGAAGTCGGAGCGGACGGAAATCATGCAGGGCAGTAGAAAGGCTGCTGAAAGTACCTGAAGAGACAAAGGGAATGAGAAGGGGAAGTCCAGACTAAGACAGGAGTCTAGTCTGTAAAGAGAAACAACGGGAAGTCTAAGGTACAGAAACTCTTCAAGTTGCCAAAAGACATTTAGGATGGGAAATGACTTCTTGAATCCAGTCTCTTTAAGATCTTAGGCTTAGTATGTGTGTGTATTTGTATTTGCTTAGTAATCTGCCTTCTTCTGTTTGCTATCCCTTATAATCACTGAAAATCTACCTTTTCTAGTGAAACTATTTTTTCTTTATTATTATTATTATTATTAAACTCAGTTTGTGCAACGGGTGCTCCGTGAGGAAATGATTTGTGTGTTACTCCAAGGGGCCGCCCGGTGTATCTTGCTCCATGAGGGAAATGAGATGACCGAATTGGACCCAGTGTCACTGTTGGGCCAGGAGGGAAATGATTTGTGCACTACCTGAACTGGCCACCAGTGTCACCATTGCTCCGTGAGGAAATGCTTTCTGCATCACTCCAAGTGGCCACCCGCTCACTGTTGGTCCAGGAGGGAAATGATTTGTGCATTACACTGACTGGCCACCCGGTGTCACTGTTGCTCCGTTAAGGAAATTATTTGTGCACTACCGTGAGTGGCCACCGAGTGTCACTGTTGCTCCATGAGGGAAATGCTTTGTGCAATACCTGGATTAGCCACCCGGTGTCACTGTTGCTCTGTGAGGGAAATGGTTTGTGCATTATCTGGATTGGCCACCTGGTGTCACTCTTTCTCCATGATGGAAATGGTTTGGGCATGACCTGAATTGGCCACACACATCACTGTTGCTCCGGGGAGGGAGGGATTGTTTGTGTGTTACTCCTGAGTGGCCACGTTGTGTCACTCTTCCTCCATGAGGGGAATGCTTTGTGCATTACCCTGTGTGGACACCCAAGACAACATACACATCACACACAAAACATCACACACACAAAACACGACACCGACACACACAGAGAGAACACGTCACACATACAGAAACACGTCTCTCACACACACACAACACAGGACACCGACACACAAACAACATGACACACAAATAAAATGACACACAAAACAGCACACAACACGACACACAAAAATCACACACAATACACGACACCGACACATACACACACACACACGAGACGCACAAAACGGCAGACAACGTGACACAGAAATCACACACGACACCGACACCCACACACAATACGACACACAACCCCTCACATGACACACAAAACGGCACACGTGACACACACACACAACACGATGCACAAAACATCGCACACAAAATATCACTCACACACACACAACACGACACACACACAGACAACACGACACACGACACACAACACGAGACACAAATATCTCACACAACACATGACACCGACACACACAACATGCACACAAAACGGCACACAACACAGCACACACCGTCACATGCACAACAAAATGCACACAACACGGCATACAACATGGCACACACACACTCAACATGGACCACAACACGCACACATAAACACGTCTCACACACACAAAACGACACACAAGTCACACACACAACACGTCACACGACACATGCAACACGACACGCACAACACGTCTTCAGCCTCCTTCAGCCTTCAGCCTCCTCTGCCCCTCCCTGCGCTTCCCACAGCCAGTCCGCCCAGGCGGGGTCCTGGGGAAGCCAGAGGGTCCTGCCCCCCAACTCCGCAGTCAGACGGGACTCTCAGCCAGCCAGGAAAACAGAGGTTTATTAGACGACAGGGACATGGTCTAACACAGAGCCTGTAGGTGCAGAGAACCGGACCCCTCAGCCGGGTCCATTTTGGGGGGCAGTGAGCCAGACAACCCCGTCTGCCCTTCACTCCATGTCTCCAGCCAGCCCCCAACTGAAACTCCCCCCAGCCCCTCCTCCTCTGGGCTTTGTCCCTGTCCCCGGCCAGGAGGGCACCCGATTCCTTTGTTCTCCAACCCTTTAGCTCTCACCTTGCAGGGGGGAAGGGCCCAGGGCATCAGGTGCCAGGAAAGAGGGTGTCGGCCATTCTCTGTGTCCAGACCCCTGCACACACCTGCCCTCCAGAGCTCTGCAATGATCATACACCCTTACCCCACCCCCTAGATCCTTAAGAACTGCATAGGGGAAACTGAGGCACCCCCACACAATTCAGAGGAAACATGAAGTCCCGCTTCATGACAGATGACTCCAGGAGGTGAGTTGCTTGCTATCCTACCATGTTTTTCTCTGTCTCTCCTCTAGTATGTTGGCCATCACACACACTCTGTCTCTGTCTCTGTCTCTGTCTCCTCTCCTCTCCTGGTGCCAACGATGACCAGGCCCCGGGTGCCTGGGCCCCATTTCCCCCCTGTGCTCCATCTCTTCCTGTATCTGCCTCGCCCCTTCTCCCAGCCCACACTGCCCACCGCTGCCTGGATGATTTCCCCCTCTCCTCCACTGCACCCCCCTCTGTGGGGTCCCTGCCACTCACCGTCTGCCTCCTCTCCTCCACCCCCTCCCCCGCTTCCCCACGGGTCACTCTGGGGGCCGGTTTTCTTCACCATCTTTGTGCGTGATCTGGAGGATGGGATGGATTGCACCCTCAGCAAGTTCGCAGATGACACTAAGCTGGGCGGAGAGGGAGATACGCTGGAGGGTCGGGATAGGGTTCAGAGTGACCCAGACCAATTAGAGGATTGGGCCAAAAGAAATCTGATGAGGTTCAGCAAGGACAAGTGCTGAGCCCTGCACTTAGGAGAGAAGAATCCCATGCACTGCCCCAAGTATGCCATGTCCCCGCCCCGAACCGACCCTCCCGGAGCATCCTCAATTCCACGAAACAGCTGTTCTGTGGTGGGCAGGAAGTGCTGGGAAGGAGGGTGGGGAGTTGCTCAGTGGGGGTGTGTCTCTCTGGGTGGGGTCTGTGTGTGTTTATGCACAAGCTGATTGTGATGTCACGGATGCCAACAGCAAAGAGTGTTCGGCGTCAGCATTCTTGCCCTGCCGTCAGTCTGCCAACTGGCTTGGTTGACAACGGTTGGTGACCCAAGGAGCTGCTGAGAGACGTGGACCATCTCTCTGTCAACAACTTCTTGAATCAGCTATTTCCACAGGTGTTTGAGGAACAAAAGGATGAGTTTTTACAGAAGGTAATTCCCAGATTCTTTCCCTGCTCATTAGATCGCACACGACAGGTCGGCGCCTCCTTCTCCTCGGGACGGGTGGGGGCGGGTGTGGCAACAGGCAGGTCTCAGCGTTCCCTTTTGATTTGAAAGTGGCCATCTCTCAGGTCTCCTCCTGCTTCAGCCTGTCAGGTTCTTTGGAGGCAGATTTAGATGATTTTATCTTTCAGCAGACTAGTCGGGGGCAATTTCCAGGGATAGAACCAAAAGGGAAGATAACAAAACCAAAAAAGATAATAAAAACCAACAACCTTCAGTCTGACCCTGGGCAATTCGCTTCAGGGCTCTGGGCCCAACTTCCATCCTCTGTAAACAAAATGTTAAGAATGTTTCTTTCTGCTGCAGGGACGAAGAAGGAGCCGTCTGACACGAAGGGGAAGTGGGAAAAAGGAAGCCCAGAAGAGCAGGAAGAAGAGCGCACTCCCAGCCCCTCATTAACAAGCAGCTCCCATATGACGATGGTAATGATGCTGGTTGGCCGTGCTCATGGAAAGCATCCCTTGCTGTGTGTAGGAATATCTCCCAGGGGCTGAAAAGAAACACTCGTCAAGGGTGATCAACTCCAGCCAGCCTTTATCTGGGTCGCTTGAATGAGGCCCGCTTTGACAAAGGGGTTTAGGCACCTAAAGAAGTCCAGAGGTGCTTTGTGGGACTGGCAGAAGTGCCTGACTCAGGTGCCCGATTCTGATGCACTTTCCATGGCACACAGGCACGGCTGAAAACCAGACCAGGCCCATCCCTGCCCTGGTCGGGGGAACCCACATATGTCCTGGCTGTGGGGTTCTGGCCCATCTCGTGGCACCAGGACCACTTGGAGACACAGAGAAAAGGAGTCTGCTCGAGAGCCTTAGCTAACAGCCTCTTGGCTTTTCGCTCCTGTGGTCGAGGCTCCTGCACTAAGCTCCAGAGGTCCCAGGTTCCCTCTCGCCTGCCAACATCTGGGCTCTGTCCGAGTTACAAAAGCCTCTAGACACCTTTGTAACTCTTCCTCTTCGGGACAGAGCACCCTGCAGCGCATACAAAAGGCTGCAATTCTGGGAGCTTCTGACCCGCCGGGGGTCTGGAGTATGGAGGCGAGTGTGCCACTCCGCCGTGCTCTACTGCATCCTAGGATATCAGGGTTGGAAGGGACCTCAAGAGGTCATCCAGTCCACCCCCTTGCTCAAAGCAGGACCAAACCCCAATTTTTACCCGAGATCTCGAAATGGTCCCCTCAAGGATTGAACTCACAACCCTGGGTTTAGCGAATGCTCAAACCACTGAGCTACCCCTCAGCTGTTGGCAACCAGGACAGACGGTGCTAATCCAGCGCCATGCAGGCCAGCTGCAATAATCCCCAGGGGTTGCCCTGAGACACCAGGGCAAAGGCCTCCAGCACCCCAAGCCCTGGGTTTAGGTGATCCTGGAACCAGGCCCCCTGGAGTAACATTGTGCCCAGTGAGTTCTCACCCCCAGGGCTCTGGCCCCAGAGGCCCACGCTTTGGGCTTCTCCTCAGCCAGGCAAACTTGCTTCTTAAGTCTCAGTTACTTTCTGTCCTGACGGCGATTCCTGCCTGTTTTCTGGCAGCCCCACAAGCTGTGAGGTGGGGAAGGAAGAGGGCGTTTCCGTTTGAGCCCTATTCTCAGTCCCTTCCTCGCAGACACTGTGGGCTGCCAGAGTTGCTGAGCCAATCTCCTCAGGCGCTCGGGGTGGGATGGGACATGGGGCAGGTTCTCCAGTGACCCCTCGGCGACACTCAAGGAGCAACTCGAATGGGCTTTGCAGGACATTGAGGCTTTCTCAGCAAAAGCGGGGTTTCCTGCAAGGAGGGGCTAGCGAGGGAGGAAACGGGGTGGCCCTTGGGGCCCCAGCACTGCCCGAGAGGCTCCCGTCTCTTCTCAGGAGAGGGGGCCAGAGAGGGGACAAAGGCTGAGGAAACCTTAGCACCTGGGGAGGCTTTTGAAGAAAAGGGCTCAGCCGGAGTCTCCACGCTCCCTCGGCACTGCCAGCCTCCCCCGGGGACAGACTGTTCCAGGGCAGCTGCCCGAGGGAAATACTCAATCCCAACAGGCTTTGTCCCTGTTCTTTGCAGACCCCCAGGGAGCACCCTTCCTCAGCCCCGCTCCATGCCCTGCTGATGGCAGCCGTGAAGGGTCTGACAACACCCACCCTGCAGAGATTTAGAGCCGCAGAGGAAGAGCTGAGGGCCATCGTAGCTCTCCACGGAGACAAGATGGAGAGAGTAAGAGACGCCCGCAATGGGGCAGGGGGATGCTGCGCAGAGAGGGGGATGGGAGAAGTTCCTCTCCTCGGAAACCATTCCTGGGACACTGGCATGGGATTGGAAGATTGGCTCAGCCTGTTGCCATTCATCGCTTGGCCACGGGGATAGGTGACATTCAAGCCCTTCTCCAAAGACCGCCTGCACGTGGCGCGGAAGTGCAGACTTATTCCCTTCCTGGGCTTTGGCTTTCCTGAAACTCTGAGACTAATCAATGAACAGAATCCTCAGCCTGAACTTCCTCCCCAACCTGCCTGTTCCTAGGGTTTCCTGCAGGTCATCCCTGTCTCTGCCCGAGTTCCTTCTTTCCAACAGCTCCCAGCGGGAAGTTAACAAATGGCCCCTCAATCAGCAGATTGATTTGTGCAGGGCTCTAACTCCTGCTAGCAGAACAGGTCAACAGAATCCAGCCACCCGCCTTGGAGCTCCTGCTCCTTGTTCGAGAGGGGAAAGAGCAATGAGCAATTCCTCACGGAAGAGTCCTAGGAGGTGGCTTGTCCCTTTAGGGTCTGTCTCCCTGTGTTGCAAACTCTGCAGCAGGAGCCTGAAAGCCTGGCTCTATGGACTTGGGCTCCCAGGGCTGGCACTGAGGGGCCACAACAGCAATGCAGACTCTTCTGGGCTGGGGCTGGAACTTGATCTCTGAAGCCTGGGGAGGACGGTGGCTTCAGAGCCTGGGCTCCAGCCCAAGTCACCTTGTCTGCACTGCTCTTCTAAGTGCCATAGCATGAACCCGAGGTTAGAGACTGGGGACTTAGGAGACTGGGGCCGGGAGCTGGCTAGCCCCACCCAACTAGCCCTGCCTCCTGTCTCTGCCATGGGCTCTGGGATACATCGGTAGAACCAGCTGGGTCTGGAGCAGTGCTTCTCAACCTGTGGCCCGGTCAGCACAGAGCTGCGCCCCTTTGGGACATCCTCAGGGACAAACAGGTCGGATTGGATGTGCCCCACAATGGAACCTAGGTTGAGAACCACTGGTCTGGAGGAACGGATTGTGCAAGAAAGAGCTAAAAGGAAGTTGCAGAGATGGAGGAAAGGCTCCTGGAGGGAAGCCCTTGAGAGCGGGACTGAGAGCCGTTTGCTACGGCAGGGAAGGCCCTGGGACATCAGGGGAGTTAGGACTGTGCCCACTCTAAGGTTTTGTGCGTGTTTTTGAGCTTGAAGGTGCTAACCCAGACCTCAGGAAGACTGGGGTTCCTGGACTTGTCAAAGCCTCTTAGGGAGCAGCCAAGATGGGCAACCGAGGTCAGAGGAGGCTTTCAGGGCTGCCAGGAGGGCTTCCCTGGGAGGAGGCCACTCATTGATAAATCCATCCCTCAACTTTCTGGCATTCTTCCAGGTTGGAGACATCGTGGGAGGGATCTTAATCTGGCTCGACAACAGCTGTGATCCCAGAGCCAGAAGAGCAGTGCTCAGGGCCATGGCCTTGCTGGCTCGCTCCCACCCCCAGGACGTGGTTCTAACCTGTGTGGCTCACACGCTCTCATCGCACAGGTAGGGAGCTGCTTTGTTATCTCCTCAGTCCAGTAGTTCTCCTCCTGCTCCTACTGACAGGCCACAGGCCGGGAGGGGTCCGTGGGGCTCACACAGTTGGAGGGAGTTTCCTGCTGTGCAGAGAGCTGTCCACGCTTCCTAAGAGGAGATGGCCAGGCCCAGCCACTAAGGAGCCAACCCCTCCTCCTACACTCCCCGGGATGGAGACATGCCACTTTTCTGGAGAATTCCAGCATTCTCCTGATTTCTATGGGTCACCCCACTTCCTCTCAGATCCAGTACAGGGCCAATCAATGATTTGGGGGCTCACTCAACATCCCTGGCTCATGAGGTCTGGCTGCTTCTTACTGCAGGAGAGAAGGCAGAGACGGAAAAGGGACATGAGGCCCATCTGTCTATCCCCTGGAGACCAGTGCAGGATTCTTACCTGTCCTAAGACCCCCCAGTTATTCCATGGCTGAGGAATTGGTGACAAAATGCACTCATCCTTATGGAACGGTGGGGCAGAGGTCAATCTCTTAAAACAGACATTTCCAGCCCTTTTTGATGCAAAAGAAAATAAAATAAAATCAACAAAAAAATCATCCCCACATGACCAGAGCCTAAATGCAGTGCAGCGAGCAGACAGCTAGCATTAATAGCTCTGAGAGGGGGGAGTGCCTCTTTCCACCTCAATAGATTGTTAACTTTCAGTCCTGCTGGTTATTGCTGATCACTTGGAAGGGTCAGCCAGCTGAGGGGTTTGTAACACAACTCCCATGTGTTCCTCGGGGCCATGAAACCCAAGTGAACCCTAGCCAGAGGTCAAAAGTCCAGCTTTCCTTGGCATCTTCTGCAATGCAGTTCTGCACTGACCTGAGTGAAATTTGTGTCACACTGCAGAGCAAATTGAAGAGCGGCAGGAAAGAAATGGAACTTCTTACCCAATTCAGTTATCAGAGGAATACAGTGTTGGTTTTCAGATTTGAGTGTTTGATTTGTAAACCTTTCTGAATTTCAGAATCAGGTCTGAATTTCTTGGAACAGCCACAGTGCTTTCCAGGGGCTGTGCTCAGAAGTTACAGAAACTCGGCAGCATTGGCACAGAAGTTCAGTCAAGCTTCCGGAAGACCTTGCTTCCAGGCCATTTGCTCTTGAGTTGTCCAACCTAGTTCTCAATGTCCTAGGGCTTGACCACCACGTCCGACCTTCCTCACCAAACTTGGACGTCAAATGACTGGAAGTCTTTTGGATCCATCTGCAGTCTTCCTCTGCAGATGCCTGCGGGGACCAGCAGGACTTAGATCCGCAAGAATGGAGGAGGGGGATTTCAGTCCTACTTTCCTTCCATCTCTGTCACATTGGGCTTTACAATCTCCTCTTCCAAGCTCTTGAATCTTCTCAGATCAGGGCATGTGCTGACTCACTCTCTGACCCTGTCCACCACACTGCAGTAGAATTGAGCTGCTAAGAGACACTTGGCCAAACGCTGGGTCTCCGTTATAGCCCCAAACAGCCAGAGGAACTCCAATGATGTCAGGCAAGTTTCTTGGGACTGACCCAAGTGTAACAGAGCAGAATTTTGCACAGTCTGCGGGTCACAGTTTGGTGGTCATTCTGTGGTCAGTACATGGTCACTGTCTTGGAAAGAGTGGGTTAGCTTTAGAAACAAGAACCCATTAGGGGAAAGGAATAAATACAACTTTCTCTGAAGGGACTTGCCCTGCCTTAGCCTCCCTGCACCAGTGGCTGTCTCCTCTGGTATTCCAAGCCTCTCCCTGGGGAGGGCAAGAGATGGCCAAGCAGGAAAGCTCTGACGTGTGTTTCTGAATTTGCAGATGTGCCATTGAGTTGTGGAAGGCCTTGGGTGAATCATAGAATCATAGAATCATAGAATATCAGGGTTGGAAGGGACCCCAGAAGGTCATCTAGTCGAACCCCCTGCTCAAAGCAGGACCAATTCCCAGTTAAATCATCCCAGCCAGGGCTTTGTCAAGCCTGACCTTAAAAACCTCTAAGGAAGGAGATTCTACCACCTCCCTAGGTAACGCATTCCAGTGTTTCACCACCCTCTTAGTGAAAAAGTTTTTCCTAATATCCAATCTAAACCTCCCCCACTGCAACTTGAGACCATTACTCCTCGTTCTGTCATCTGCTACCATTGAGAACAGTCTAGAGCCATCCTCTTTGGAACCCCCTTTCAGGTAGTTGAAAGCAGCTATCAAATCCCCCCTCATTCTTCTCTTCTGCAGGCTAAACAATCCCAGCTCCCTCAGCCTCTCCTCATAACTCATGTGTTCCAGTCCCCTAATCATTTTTGTTGCCCTTCGCTGGACTCTCTCCAATTTATCCACATCCTTCTTGAAGTGTGGGGCCCAAAACTGGACACAGTACTCCAGATGAGGCCTCACCAATGTCGAATAGAGGGGAACGATCACGTCCCTCGATCTGCTCGCTATGCCCCTACTTATACATCCCAAAATGCCATTGGCCTTCTTGGCAACAAGGGCACACTGCTGACTCATATCCAGCTTCTCGTCCACTGTCACCCCTAGGTCCTTTTCCGCAGAACTGCTGCCTAGCCATTCGGTCCCTAGTCTGTAGCTGTGCATTGGGTTCTTCCGTCCTAAGTGCAGGACCCTGCACTTATCCTTATTGAACCTCATCAGATTTCTTTTGGCCCAATCCTCCAATTTGTCTAGGTCTTTCTGTATCCTATCCCTCCCCTCCAGCATATCTACCACTCCTCCCAGTTTAGTATCATCCGCAAATTTGCTGAGAGTGCAATCCACACCATCCTCCAGATCATTTATGAAGATATTGAACAAAACCGGCCCCAGGACCGACCCTTGGGGTACTCCACTTGATACCGGCTGCCAACTAGATATGGAGCCATTGATCACTACCCGTTGAGCCCGACAATCTAGCCAGCTTTCTACCCACCTTGTAGTGCATTCATCCAGCCCATACTTCCTTAACTTGCTGACAAGAATACTGTGGGAGACCGTGTCAAAAGCTTTGCTAAAGTCAAGAAACAATACATCCACTGCTTTCCCTTCATCCACAGAACCAGTAATCTCATCATAAAAGGCGATTAGATTAGTCAGGCATGACCTTCCCTTGGTGAATCCATGCTGGCTGTTCCTGATCACTTTCCTCTCATGCAAGTGCTTCAGGATTGATTCTTTGAGGACCTGATGGATGGGACAAGGCTGTAGTGTGCACCGTGAGGTAATTAGGACAACCTAAAATGCTGTTGGCAGGCCTAACTGTGTAGTGTAGCCCAGGTTTTAATCTCCTGCTGATGGGATATATGCTGGGTGCCTTGTTTCCTTTCCTTAGGAGTGCTTGTTCTCACACCTATCTCCTTGCTTTCCATTCCAGTTCAGGGAAGGAGAGAATAACCAAGTCTTCAGGTATGAAAAGGCAAAACATTTCTACATGACCCTTCGCAGTCAGTGAAACCTGTGGTGGGAAACGTGCCCTTGATTTTACTGCATTTTGGTTTCTTGTCTTGTTGGTTGCTCCCGAGGAGCTGGCAGGGAAATGTCCATGGAGAAGTGGAGTGGATGTGAGGTTTCTTGCTTATGAGATTTACCTGCGTTTTGGCCTCATTGGGAGAAGGGCAAATTGGATGAGACATTGCAGCTTTTCTGATGCCTGTCTGAGTTTGGAAAGTAAGTTCTTTGTTGTCCTGTTCTTCAAAGGAAACTGAGGGAGTGGATATACACTGGCAGCTGAGAAAGCCTTAGAAGGGGAAATCCAAATCTGGGCACAATTGGTTTCTGTCGTAGATTGTAGTGTAGTATGGTGGTTATCATGTTTGCTTGACACG